AAACCCCGAGACCAAATCGACGTCAGGTTTGACCCTAAGCGGTGTCGGTCTCCATTTATATCCTTTTCAAATCGGGCTACCGAGAGCAAATCGGCGCAGGGTTTGACCCTAATCGGCGTCAATCAACTGTCATGCATGAGGTCAACGTTTCGTTGACAAGCCAAAACAACTCCAATTGTTATGAAACTTAAACACGACATGTATTAAGTCATAAACAATCGATATATGTCTTTATGACCATTCAAAACATCGTCTATGTATTTATTCACATTTTAATCTATTTACATGCATAATATACTGACTTGATTCATATAAGCTCAATTACCTTGTCTAATCACAAGCTTATTAAACACTTTTAAACATAATCATGAAATCATATAACACTTCTTTAGGTAATCTCATACTTAACCCACGAGTGATAAGACATTTAGCCGTTGACACATCTTAAATGAGCTTTAAGAAGTTCTCCCCTCTTCGGTTGACCTCCAGCGAACTCCGGCGATACCTCCAGCCGCTTCTCAACTTGGTGAGAATGTTAGGAATATCATACACAAGTCACTAACAAGGCTTCATCATCCCAAAACCCATATCAATACAAATAACCTATAAAAGGTTATTCTCCAGCGAATCGTTAACCTTTGGTTTGTAAGTCCGTTTGTGGACTTAGAACCACCTTCCAATCCCTCATTCTACACCTATACGCGTGTAGAACAAGATTAGGGGTTTAAAATATGATATATTTAATCATATGGGATTCATAAAGGAAGAGAAAAGGTTAATGAGATCATTACCGTTGTTTACCAAGGTTTTCCTCCCTTCCCCTAGTTAATCTTCTTCCGTGAACATTCTCCTTGCTTGAGCTTGTTTCTAACAATGGAGAAGATGATTTGCAAAGATTCCTTCTCTTGCTTGAGGGAGGTTGGTCGAAAATAATAGGGGGGGGGGGGGGGGGGGGTAAGGGTGAGAAGGCTCTTTTGTCTCTCTTGCAAATTGATTGAGGGAGGGAGGTCTACCTTGCTCTCTTTGATGCTTTTCAACTCATTTAAACATCTCCCATATCCCCTTCCTTAAGTCCTTTCCCTCCAGCCGCCCCTCGCTTGTCTTGCATGTATGATTTTGTGGGGTGGCCCCAACTCATGTAGGAGGTCATTCCTTTACATTCCTAAGTGTGCATTTAGTCCCGAAAGTTGTTTTTGGATACTTTTAATTAAATTTTATTTTTATTGGGTCAAATAAAACACATATCATTCTCCCAATTAATAAGGGCCTATGGAATGAATACATATTACTCAACTTTAATTTAGTGGTTCCCGGAATTTATTATCTGACAATTTACCAACACTGGTATATGGGCCTCATCTAATCAATCGGTCAATCCAATGTTATTTATATGTCCCGTAATGAGTTTATATCATCATGTAAATATTATCTAGATCAAGATGAATATAATATGTGTCCCCAAAAATATCGGGTGATCCCCGCTTCCAGTGTGGGCCCCATTTGTGTTTACTATTCGCGTAAAAGAAATAAAAAAATTACAAACACATAGATTCATTAACCATTTCTCAAGGTTCAATACACAATTTGGTAAAAGTAAATATACTTGGGGACGTGGTTACATTTTAATTTTCAATCACTTCATTAATAATAATTGTGTAAAACTAAAACAAGACATCCAATATGGGATGAAGGTAGTACCAGATTGTGTTAGAAGCACATATATATGGTCATCGTAAGAGATAGAGTAATTAATACTCACTGCGTCCCACTAAGATTATCCATCTTCCTTTTTTCTTTCCCGATAAGATTGTCTCATACCAAATTTGATTACAATTGTGTAGTTGTAAATCTTTTTTCTTTGGGGTGTTTACAAAACTAATACTAAAATAAAACTTATTCAAAAAATATGACTATTAGTTACTACAATCTAGTGTTGTAGTAACTTAAGTTTGAAAATTGAACATAATAAGTTACTATAATTTTATTACTACTCTACCCACTAATCACATTATTGTAAACATACTTCATTTTAGTCATAAATATGTACATCCTTTGTCCCTTATAACTTTGTCATCTTTCCTTTTTTGGATGTCACAAAAACTTTGTCACTTTCCTTTTTAATAAATGAATTTGTGATTCTTGTCATTTCTCTTTCCTCTGTACATATCTCAATCACATAATTTTTACTTTATTATTTCTCGTGCCGGTCAAATATGAGAGAGTATTGAGGGACGGAGAGAGTAGTTGTTTCTTTTTCTTTATTCTCACTTTATTAATTCAATAAATATTATATAAACTCAATTTTCTAAATAACCGCATCATCGCTTCTTATACCAATGTTAGAGTTAGAAAATTTATAAAAGAACATTGATTTATTTATGCTGAAAATGATAACAATTAATATCTCTTTGACATAAATACTAGTCAATGATAACTATAATCAATACTAACTATGACGTCTGTTCTATACACGATTTATTGTACACTTAATCTTCACAAAGGAGGCTGAATAAGTAATTATCTTGATTGTTACTTTCAAAGAGAAGGTCACAAGTTCCGGTTTCATCCTAATCAATGATGTTAACATTATCTATGAACAAATACTATAATATATAGGTTTGAAATGATATTTCAAAACAAATTGTGCTTCATTCATTTTATAAAATTCTTTTACCTTCGAATTGAATTTACTATCGTATTTGACTTTTAATCACATTCTCTTCATATACAATAGTCTAAAGTAATTATTTTACGAAAAATTCTTAGTATACAAAAGTTGTATATAAAGTGTACAAAATTCCCTAATTCTGGCAAGTTTTAAGGGATGAGTAAGTAATTCCTATTTCTTGTTCTTCTTTATGATAAGCGAATAAGAAGAGGGAAAACATATAAACCAAAATAAGTCCAGCCGTTATGATCATCAAATTGGGTACAAGCCTGAGAGCATGGAAACTAGCTGGTTACTCACACTCTTTTGCTCTCTTTGCGCTTCCTTCCTCCTCAAGCCTCTTTTCTCGCTAATCTTCTCCGGCAAGACCAACAAGCTCCCTCCGGGACCGTCCATAGCCTCGCTGATCGGAAACATCCTATGGCGGAGTCGATCCTTCCAGCTCGAACCCATTCTCCGGGACCTCAAATCAATGTATGGTCCTCTCTTCACTCTCCGAATCGGCTCAACCCCGTCTATTTTCATATCCAGCCACTCCCTCGCTCATCAAGCTCTCATCCAAAACGGCGCCATCTTCTCCGACCGACCGATATCACCGCCTGTTACGAGGCTCCTCAATAGCAATCACCGTAACATCAGCTCCGCCGCGTATGGCCCCACATGGCGCCTCCTCCGTCGCAATCTCATATCGGAGATTCTCCCCCCTTCTCGGGTCAAGTCTTACTCGAAAGCCCGACAATGGGTTCTGGGAGCTCTTGTAAAACGACTCCACAATGAAAACTCTGAATCAGGTGTTAAGGTAATCGTCCATTTCCGTCACGCCATGTTTTCCTTGCTTGCTTTAATGTGCTTCGGAGATAAACTCGACGAAGCCCAGATTAAACAGATTGAGGCTACACAGAGAAAGGTTATTCTCAGTTTTCGTCGATTCTATTTACTGAATTTCTGGCCTACTATAGGGAAGTTCTTTTTCAGGAATCTCTGGAATGAGGCGATTCAAGTAGCCCTAGATCGTGAAAAAACTTTAATCCCTATAATTAAATCCCGAATTGAGTCGAAAGAGCGAATAGTTGATGAGGAAGATAAGGATGAGGTGATATCTTATGTAGATACATTAAAGAATTTAGAATTGGCTGATGAGAAAAGGAAGCTCAACTATGGAGAAATGGCTACCCTCTGTGGAGAATTTCTCAATGCTGGAACAGACACTACTTCCACTGCTTTGGAATGGATAATGGCCAATTTGGTAAAATATCCTTCTATCCAAACCACGCTCTATGATGAAATCTTGGGTGTAATAGGAACCTTATATGATGATGGTGTGAAAGATGAAGATTTACAAAAGATGCCATTTTTAAAAGCTGTGGTTTTGGAAGGCTTAAGACGCCACCCACCCGGGCACTTTGTGCTTCCCCACTCTGTCACTGAGGAAGTCGAAATGGAAGGGTATTTGATTCCCAAGAACTCTGTGATCAATTTCATGGTAGCTGATATGGGGTGGGACCCTATGGTGTGGGAGGAACCAATGGAGTTCAAGCCTGAGAGATTTTTGAAAGGAAGGGAAGGGTTTGATATAAGTGGGAGTAGAGAAATCAAGATGATGCCTTTCGGTGTTGGGAGGAGGATTTGTCCTGGTTTGTCTCTGGCTTTGTTGCATTTGGAGTTCTTTGTGGCTAACCTTGTTTGGCACTTTGAATGGAAGAGTGTTGATGATGTTGATCTTAGTGAAAAACAAGAGTTCACCACTGTCATGAAATATCCTCTTCGGGCACATCTTTATCCACGGAGTAACATATAAATTAACTCATTTAAAGTCTGGTATATTCTGCTAATATTATATAGCTTGTGTAATTTGCATCTTTTATATGCTTTAAAAGGTTGCTCACACTTTGTTTAAACATGCTTATACAACTAATACGTAGTACAAGTTAATAAAGTCAATAACGTCTACTTTTCTGGAAAGTTTTTCTTATTTTTCTAATGTAAAACATTTCAATAATAGTTTAATGCATTGATATGATATGCCTCTGTCTAGCGGATGTCACCTCATCACATATAAATAGTCCAATTTGAAAGCATATTTATATTCCATAAAAGGAATATAAATAGTCCATATCATTGATATGATATGCCTCTGTTTTTTATTATTCAAAAAGTGTTCAGCATTTAGTATGTTGAACTTTGTTAGATAGCAACAAGTACAACAACATTCAGGCCTTAACCCCAAAAGAGTTTGGCGTCGGGTAACATGAACCGACACATGAAACTGTAGCTAAACAGATATGAAAGATAAGAAAAATAAATATATTTTGAATTGAATAATTGTACCTAACAAATTCTTAAAAGATGTACTGCTGTGAAGGCAGTAGAATAGGTAGCGTTTGGCCTACTTATTGGCTGAAATGTAATTTACCAAATGCTTTTCTTTTTAGAAATTTCAACAATATCAACAGTTTCAGCCAAATGAGCCCTAGGCCTCCTGGCTTGTGCATCCTTTGATTAACATGTTTCATATGAGTTAGCATGCAGTATCAATGTATCATATCTTGGATGTTCTTTATCACCGATTTATTCACCACCAAACACAAAAAATGCAAATCCCTATGTAAAAATGAGAAAAAAAATGGAGAACTATAACAAAAAAGAATAAAGGAACCATGAGTGGCTTCTAATAGTTAGCAACAGGAAGCTGCTCATGATGATGATTGCCAATGAAGATGTTGTCATAGACGAGAGCTGCAATGGCTGCACCACCAAATGGACCGAACCAGTAAACCCAGTGGTGGGTCCACGACCAGCTCACAAATGCGGGACCGAAACATACAGCTGGGTTCATGGATGCCCCATCAAATGCCCCACCGACCAAGATATTAGCCCCAACAATGAAACCAATGGCAATGGGCGCAATAGTGCCCAAATCGCCCTTCTTTGGATCCACTGCAGTTGCGTAGACAGTGTACACCAGCCCGAAGGTCATCACCATCTCGAACACCATCGCGTTCCACACTGACACCCCAGTTGACAAAGCGAATGCAGACGTTTCCTGCACCGGCACATCAAGAAGGTAGAGATTTTAGAGGGGAAACAGGTCGGGTTCAATTTCTAACCGAGCACTAATTTAGAACGTGAAAGGAGTTTGGATAATTTTTTTCAAGTTCCGAATACGAAGTATATTCTTTTAAGTCAAATGCACTGAAGCGTTTTTAAGCAATCACAAACACTCATTAAGCCTAGTGCATATGTTGCCAGGAGTAGATTTTGATTACTAGGAATTTCCTTACCATTCCACCAGTGGCAAATTTTAGAAGGACACAAGCAACGATAGATCCAAGCAATTGAGCAATCCAATAAACGATACTCCTGAGAAGAGTGATGTTGCCACCAAGAAAGGCTCCAAATGTGACAGCGGGGTTGACGTGGCCACCGGAGATATTGGCGCTAATTGAAACTGCCACGAAAAGTGCCAATGCGTGGGCTAATGCTGCTGCTATTAACCCTGAAGGAGTTGCTCCTCCGCCGTCTGTCAATTTGCCTGGAAACAAACATCAGAACTGATTAGCATTAAAGTGACAGCCATTGCTCCATATAAATTAATTATCATTATATTGATAATTGTAATAATCATTATTACTATTGATATAGAATAATATACACTTTCTAATAATATATGGCTTTTCTAATTTTACAGTTGAATCAGAATTCTTAGCTTCTATTCAGATTCTCAATTAACATTTTACGGTTGAATCGGAATTCATAGCTTCTACTCCGTGTTTCTGTGTCTATCAACTAAAATGTGATTCATCTCAACTAAAAATAAAGCATTTGGAACATACTGAAAGCCATGCCCGAGCCTTGACCGGCAAAAACAAAAATGAGCATGGAAATGAACTCGGCAAAGGCCGCCTTGAGCGCATCCGGGTGGCTCGCCTCACCCGGGTTTCCAATCGCTATTCGTTGAATGGGCATTTTTAAAATCGGATGGCTACTCCTTTCCCGCCCTTCCTAATTAGTTACACAATTGATTGATCAACTTCAACTATAGAAGCAACAAATTAAATATTGGAAAATGTATATAGTGTTGCGTTTTGCTAGTTTGTTTGTATGCTTAGGGAAGATCATGTGTTATATTGTTATAACGTGTGGGAAGCCACTTTTCAATGGAGACTTTGAACAATTCTATCGCTGTATGAATGGTGATCAAATCATATGGCTGCTTTTGCTTCAGAACCTCTTCCACATATTTATTTGTTTAAAATAAATCAACTGATTGATTAGTTATGCAGTTATCCTTGGAGATTATCTTAACTAATTACCAACATTAAACTGGTTTGTTTTTGTTTTTGGGCTCCCCAATCTATACATATATTGTTCTTTTCTGATAACGTGAGTGTATACCTTAAAACTTTCAATAACAAGCCTACTCCGTGTATAGTGAAGTGCCTAATCAATAGTTCCTAATAAATACGGAATTCCTGAACTACAAGAAACTTCGAATCACCCCATCAACTACAATAACAACATTATCTATGGTGGTGTAAGGAGGGTGACATGTACGCAACCTTACCCCTGTATCAAAGCACATAAAGATTGTTTCCGGATGACCATAATGAAAATTGTGTCGAAAAATCCATGAATTGATTGTTGATTCATAACAAAGAAGCGCAAACAGTTTGGTGAGTCGTTTTACTTTATTTCATTATACTCCCAAGTTAAAAAATAGTGAATCTTTCGTTCCGATGGAAATGTGGATTAAATAACCCCATCAAGGCATCAACTATTAAAAAAATCAAATCCCATATTTAACCAGTGAACCTCCCTTTATAATCAAAATCAATCTGTTACCAAATTATTAATACAATTCTTCAATAGAGTTATAGATCAATACACTCATCCTGTGACACACTTGAGATTTGAAAACGAAAATTAAGTCCATTGGTTACTTATTTCTGTCATTTGGTGAACACCATTACATTACATATCTATTTCATGAGGTGATATGATACTCGAAGGCCGGGAAGGAAGTCTTGGGCCTAAATGAGCCGATCAATTTGAAAAATACTTGTATTTTATGGGTAAAAAATTTACTTAAAAAAATGGTTATAAAAACTCATTGTTGCTCCTGCCTACCCCGATGATAATAATTGACAAAAATTGGTCAATATTGACAAGCATAATTATTCTTCACCAAACAAATTCAGTAAACATAACTAGGAAATAGGGTTATAGAAGAGTGAAATGTGTGCCTACTTTAGTACATTTTCTCTATCTATGAGAGGATTAAGGCTTACTGGGAAAGATTCTAACGTTAAAGAAGAGAAAAATGAGCAAATAGCCATCGAATTATTAGCAATTCTACAATCAAACCCTCCTTTTGTCAAGAAGAAATTGAAAATTCTGTAAGTCCTTACTAGGGGTGGATTCGGTTCGGGCCACCCGGCCCGTGACCCGGCCTGGCCCAGTACTGTGCGGGCCCGGGACCGGCCCGGTCGGGCGGTCCGGGACCGGGTGTGGACCCGAACCGGTGGGAATGGGCGGTGCGGGCACGGTTCCGGATAAATGTGACCCGGGCCAACGGTCTGATTTAAAAAAAAAAATTGGTACTAGGCTACTAGCCGTTGGGGGTGGGCTGGGGACAACCCAAACGGCTATATAGCCGTTGGGTGGGGTGCAGGGGGGGTCCGGAGGGTTGGGTGGTGGGGGTGGGGGGGGTGGGGGGGTGAGGGGTAAAAAAACCTATAAATACTCCTAATCTTAAACATTTTTTCATCTCTCTTCTCCAATTCTTCCTAAATCCTATTCTTAACTCTCTACTCTCTAATTCTCTTATTCTCCACTCCAATATATTATATTTATTATTTATAGTTTATATTAATTATCTACTTATATAAACTATAAATAGATATAAATAGTATTATATTACTTATATTTGTTATCTAATTATATATTACTTATATATTTATTATATCTATTAATATAGTTGGAATTATATCTAATTAATTTGAAGTCGTTCTATTACTCCCATCTGAAAGACCGAAAGTCCGAAAGAGGTACGAAATTATTCTATTATTTACACTTGTTTAATTACTAGTTAATTTGCTACATTTGACTCTAGTTTAATAGTTAGATAAATAGTTAATTACTTTTTTACATTTTTTTATTAATTGCTACATTTGACTCTAGTTTAAAAAAATATGTTGTACACAAAAGACAAAACTAGTTAATTCACTACTTAATTTGCTATAACTCGAATTAATAGTTAGATAAATAGTTAATTACTTTTTTACAATTTTTTATTAATTGCTACATTTGACTCTAGTTTAAAAAATATGTTGTACACAAAACTAGTTAATTCACTAGTTAATTTGCTACAACTCGAATTAATAGTTAGATAAATAGTTAATTACTTTTTTACAATTTTTTATTAATTGCTACATTTGACTCTAGTTTAAAAAAATATGTTGTACACAAAACTAGTTAATTCACTACTTAATTTGCTATAACTCGAATTAATAGTTAGATAAATAGTTAATTACTTTTTTACAATTTTTTATTAATTGCTACATTTGACTCTAGTTTAAAAAATATGTTGTACACAAAACTAGTCAATTCACTAGTTAATTTGCTATAACTCGATTTAATAGTTACATAAATAGTTAATTAGTTTTTTACAATTTTTTATTAATCGCTACATTTTTTAGATGGATCGTCCTAGATATTCGGTTGATATGGGTAACCTCGAGCGCAACCGAAAGAAAGAGCTTGCGAGGAAGAGATCCCACAAAGGTAAATCACATATCGGCTCTTCATCTCAAAGTCGAGATGATTTTGATACGGGTTACGCAAGGAGGGATGGGGATGTGATGACCGACGAACAACTAGAACAAGAATTGCACCGACATAATTCCCGCTTTTTTCAAGACCAACCGAGGACCATTGACGAAGAAGAGCTCGAGGACGAGGACGACGATGTGGAAGAAGTCATTCCGGAGAGCCACGACGACGAGGAGGAGGAGGGTGGCGGCAGCCATGACGCCAACCAACCAGTCTCATCCCAAACAGGTACAAAAAAAAGTAAATCTGAACCAATGGCTAATAATTTTTCTAAGTGGAAGGACCCGAACACCGGGAATTGGACCGCAACTTGCAATTGGTGCAAGAAAAACTATAGCTTGGGGATTTCCGGCGGATACGGATCCGCCACAAGACACCTTAAGTCCAAACACCCGGTGGAGTATGCAAAATTAGGCGGCGGAATGGGGACGCAAACGCAAATATCGAGGTTTGCAAATAACCAACAAGCTTTTGGTAATTTCTCATACAATGATGCACAAAATTTGACAGGTATGACTAACTTACTTGTTGAAGAAAATTTGCCTTATTTGTTTTCTGAAAGTCTTGCTTTTCGTGATTATGCACAAACTTGTTTAAATCCGCAATATAGAGGTTATAGTCGCAAAACGGTTAAGAAAGAAATTTCAAGGCTTTATGGTGCGGAAAAGGTAAGGTTACAAAATTATTTTGTAAACTTTGATGGACGTGTTACTGTATGTTCTGACATATGGGAGGATACTTATCATAATTTACATTATTTGGGTCTGACTGTACATTATATTGATAATGATTGGCATATGCATAAACGTGTTCTTGCTTTCCGTGAATTTAATGATCGTCACACCGCTGAACATATTTATATTTTGATTGAACGTATTTTAATTGAGTATAATTTAATTGATAAGGTGTTTGCTATTGGTTTTGATAATGCTACTAATAATACTGGTGTTATTCCTAGATTGCGTGAATTGTGTGGTTCTACTTCTTTGATGGGTAGATTTTTTCATCAACGATATGCATGTCATGTTCTAAATTTATGTGTGCAAGATGGTCTAAAAGCGTTGGGAGCATCGTTGGAGGTAGTCAAGGGGGGGATTAGACGTATTTGGGTAATGGACAACTTAGGAAAAAATGGCATGATTATTTGATAGAAAGAGGTGAGAGATATGTGACTTTTCCTAAAGATTTGTCTATTCGTTGGAATAGTACCTATAAATTAATTGGAGTTCTTCTTAGATATAAACAACATTTTCCTGCTTTTATGAAACAATATGATAACTATATTATAAACTCGGCTGAGATCGGCACCTGTGAAAAAATTTGTAATGCTTTGATATATTTTAATAATGCAACTGAAAATTTTAGTCATGTTTATAAACCTACCTCGAACCAATTTATTCGTGAAACTGTTAATCTCGTCGGTGCTTTTTCAAATTTTGAGAATGCTAATTATGTGAGTTATTTTGCTAGTTTTATGAAGGAAAAGTTTTTAAAATATTATTCACATATTCCGCATATTTATGGTATTGCATTTGTTCTCGATCCTCGTTTTAGACTTGGTTCTTTAGAAGAATGTTTGAATTATTATTATGCTGCTTTTTTGGTCCATTGCCAATGTATGACGACAACCCAATTGATCCGAAAAAAGAATACAACGAGGTTAGTCATATATTTTATGCATTATTCAATGAGTTTCATGCACAATATGGCAATGCGCTCCCTCCCCCGACACAAACATCATCTAAAGGAAAATCAATTTTCAAATCTATGTTTGCCAATCTTATTAAAAAACGAAATCAACTCCCGCTACACAACAAAGCACAATTAATGAGATTTCTTTGTATTTAACTTATGATGTTGATTTTGAAGAAGATGATGATTTTGACGTACTAAACTGGTGGAAAAGAAAAGAAAGAATGTTCCCGGTTTTAACAAAGATGGCTAAGCAAGTGCTATCAATGTCGGTTTCAACGGTTGCCGTGGAACAAGAATTTAGTTCGGCCGGCAATGTCCTAACACAAACTAGAACGAGGTTGAGCGCTGAATCTCTTGATATGCTTATATGCTACCACGATTGGTTGAAAGCAGCCCGTAGAGCTCAAGAAATTGACATCACCCCATCCCAACACTTTATGGATGAATCTACAACCGAGGGTGGCTCTACCTATGCCGGAGATTCCGATTGAAATATTGAATGATTGATTAGTATTTCATGTTTTAAAAACAATTATAGTTCCTATTTAATTTTCAAATGTAGTTCCTATTTCATTTCAAAATAAATGCACTTGAAGTTTGTTTTTTAATACTTGTATAAAACTATAAAGTATAAAATATAAATTAAAAAAAAAATTTAACCGGCCCGGCCCGGCCCGGCGGGTGGCCCGACCCGTGACCCGGGCAGGTGGCCCGGCCCGAACCGGACCCGTCCAACCCTCGGGCCGGTCCCGGGCCCATGTGATACGAACCGGCGGCCCGACCGGGCCTAGGCCCGGCCCGGGCCCGACCCGGCCCGAATCCATCCCTAGTCCTTACTCCTTACTAAGGATGTCTTTACTTTGATTGCTTTCGGTCTCAATCCAGATCACATCAGACCAGACTTGGATAGTTATAAAATACACATAGACCAAACATTCAACAGACTAGACCAGTAAATTTCAATCCAAGTAAAAACATCCTAACAAATTTTAAAAAAAAACAGAAGAAAAAAGGCATTCAAAGGCACATGCATAATTTGGAACTGGAAACAATTAAGCGGAGATTGGGCATGGCCGGCGGTCCATGAGTAATGTACTCCGTATAATTCTCAAGATTTAGATCATATGTTGTTTTTATATCTTTTTTCTTTTTCATACTTGTTTTTTTTAGTTTGGAACACCATCTGTATGAGCTTTTCTTTGATACCAAAGTAGTCTTAATTGTACTAGTAGTTAATATCGAACATGGCACATGGTAAATGTATTTCCGAACAATATTTCATTTCAAGATGTCGACTTAAGATTTGATGAAAATTCTATGTCATTAATCATTACTAAACCAAAACATAGAAATACAATTGGCATAAAATTTGCCATGAATTCTATTGTGAAAGCTAGAAATGATTCTGAGATCGTATAAGCCTGCCTTTTATTGCAGGCTCATTCATATTCTTTTTTATTCAAAATCTCGAGGACACGGCTGTGGAAGATTCTCCAGATTCAGTGTGAGGAACAAGCCCACAAGCCTCTTGTAATTTAAGCACATGCTCAAGATTCCACAGAACGTCTCCCATAGACGGCCTGTCGCTCCCGTACTCACCCAAACACTTCGCAGCTGTCTCCCCAAACTTTCTTAACGACCGCTCGTTCACCTTTCCTAAGAGGCGAGGATCAATGATCTCCTCGACCCGACCCGCCTTTTGCCACTGCATCGCCCATTCTGCAATATTCACTTGCTCTCTCGGGAGGGTGGGGTTGATGGGGGGGCGGGCACACAGAACCTCCATGAGCACAACGCCAAACGAGTACACGTCGGACTTCTCTGTCAGTTGTTGCCTACGGTAGTACTCCGGGTCGAGGTACCCAAAGCTACCCTTCACGGCGGTGCTCACATGGGTTTGGTCCAACGCAGGCCCAAATTTTGACAAACCAAAGTCTCCCACCTTTGCCTTCAAATTCTCATCGAGCAAGATGTTTGTCGTCTTCACGTCGCGGTGGATGATTCTCTCTGATGCAGCCCCGGTGTGAAGATAATGAAGTCCTTTTGCAGCACCTATGCATATCTCAAGCCTTTGTTTCCATGACAGCGCCGGGAGGTGGGGCTCACTGTACAAGTGTTTCCTGAGGGGTCCGCCTGCCATGAACTCATACACGAGGATCATCTCGTCCATTTCTTCGCAAAAACCAATTAGAGAAACGAGATGCTTGTGGCGAAGCTTTGAGAGCATCATAATTTCTGTCCTGAACTCAAGCAACCCTTGTTGAGATTTCCTGCTTCCTCTCTTCACCGCGACCATGACCCCATTTTCAAGCAAACCTTTGTATACTTTCCCGAACCCGCCCACTCCTATGGCCAAACCCTCATCAAAATTCTTTGTGGCAACAAGAATCTCGGCAAAGGAGAAAATGTGTCGTGAGCTAATAGTAGTAGGCATTGATGAAGCAAAGGTCGGGGAAACTCCAAAGGTAGGTGTTGGGCCACTATCAACATGATGGCATTTTAAAATGAAATCCCAACTCTTAGTATTAAGATTTGAAACCCAAGAAACATAAGTTTTTGGTTTGAGCTTTTCTGAGACGTTTGAAAATCGCACATAAAAGAAACAACAAGAAATCAAAACGAGAAGAAAAATCAATAATAAGCTTCCCAAACATGCAAAAGCCACTATCATCAAATGCTTCTTAGTCTTGGAGGCCATGTAATAATCACTGGAAATCAAACCAATGTTAACATCAAGGCGTTTACTAGAATCACTCAACCTCATTATCTCTAAACCATTCAAAATTGCATTGACCGGGACTCTCCCAGAAGTAGATGGACCCACTTTAATGTAAAGGTTATCTGATCCCCCCTCAGAAACATTGACAGTGAAATCAAGAAAGTAAGCAACTGACAATGCCGTTGTCTTAGCTGAGATATCAAGAGAATCCACGGCGATATATTCATTCACATAAACATTAAAGATCAACTCACCTAGAGCATCACTGACAATATCACAAAAATGCATCCTTAGGAAGTAAGTGTACCCCGGGTCAACTCCAAACACCCATGTTAAATTGAAGTTAGGCTCAACTACTTGGGCCTCAGCCATTTCTTGGACGGTGGCGTAAACCCAATCTGGTGCAATCTCAACCGTTACTCCAGCAGCATACTTGACCGATCTAGGATCTGTGCTCACATTCACAGCGGCAGAAGGATGGACAAGAAATGGGTAATCTGATTTCCAGTCCCTCCAAAACGGGTCATTTTCAGAGGTCATATTTGAGCCTCCCATATTCAACCTGTAGACTGTCTCAAGGGCACTGGAGGAAGGAATCAAAGAGGTTAATGAAGAATCAATTGGGATTGGGACAACCCCAAAATCAAATTGACCCTTAGGGACAGAAATCACTTCCAATCCATTGATGAACGCAACTGAGCCCACCCGTGGAGAGAGGGTCAGTGATAAACCATCCGAACCCGACCCGTTTACTTCAACAACATATTCCTTGACTAGCGGCCCATTCTGGCGGTGAGAAAATCTGTGGAGTAGAGTTATCCCATTTGCCACAACAGAAAAAGAAGACGCTTTCAAGTCATAATCATTGTTCTTGACTGGGTAAAAATGTAATCTTAGCCAGTGTCTCCCAGACTGGTTATTTCTAATGGTGTAAGTGGAAGGGGTGGTGAAAACTCTGGCAGAATTATAAAGATCAGACAAACCCTTCTTCCCAGAATCTGAGACCACAACGTGGGAATTTGTAAACAATCCCACGTTAGAATTTCCATAATCTGGTTGGAAAACCCTACCATCCTCAAATTCTACGGATTTACTGTTACCGCAGCCAATCAAGAAACAATCAACTGGGGTGAAAGAAGACCGGCCCAGTGAAAAACCACCAAGAACAACAACACAGCATAAAGACAAAGCAAGATGTAAAAATCCCATCTTTGTTTAGACCCTAAAAGATCCCAATCTTTGATCCGAGCTGAATTGGTAAAAGTGCACATACCAGGTAGGTCGGCCAAAAACAGAATTTGAAGAAAAGGGTGAAGAGAAGAAATTGATGACAATGATGACTAGCTAACAAGCAGAGTCTCTCCACAACTATCTCCTTCGCAAATACACCATGACTAACTGCAAATATTTCAGAGTAGTAACTGCCTCATAAAGCCCTCGAATCAAGCTACCACATTGTCCGTCAGTCCGTGTGCCTGTTTTAGCCGGTTGAGGCTCATAATAATAGCCTAGAGTAACAAGTACTCCAATCCGTGGGATGTTTTTACTTAATTCCTCTCACTCCAGACTAGATCAGACCAGAACAGATCAGTTCAAATAAGACCAGACTAGACCAGCAAATTACAGTCCAAATAAAAGCATCCTTATAAGCTATACAATTCATGTATTTATTGTTGGGTGTGTTTCGGAAAATAAAGAAAATTAATTAAAATAAATTAATTAAATAAAATGACTAGAGAAAAACAAGAAAGGAGATGAAGCAAAGCAGAATTAGCCAAAGCTCGTGCTACGCACGATTTCCTTAAAACGTATTTGTTGCCTCCCACGGTGCTAGGAGCGTTGCAACAATCGTTTCCCAGGATACGATGACTACGAACTAATGTTTGAGCACACAAACAAGAGTTCCAGCGAACGAGAACCAAGTATGAACACAGAAGGAATTTTGGGAGTAGCTGGAAGAGTTTTTAGCTCAAGAAAACGTGAGGAAAGTGTTGTGCGTTGTCAAACCGTGTGTTTGTTGCAAAGCACCTGCCAGCTATTTATAGGAGGATTTGTTGTGTGTTAAATGGGGTGTTAATGGACCTGAACGTTGGACATCAATGAGCAGTCCGTTGGGCATTGAATCGTCCATAAACTGTCCATTTAACGCTGCATTAAAAGAGAAGAACGTTGGGCATTAATTGTTGTAACGGAAGAAATGCGTGACAGAAGACCCCTACAGAACACCCCTTGGAGGGGTTCTGTCCGAAGCCAACAGAACACCCCTCGGAGGGGTTCTGTCCGTAGCCAACAGAACTCCCCTTGAAGGGTTTCTGTTCGAGGCCTTCTGTCCGAACTCCGAAGCTAACAGAACCCCCCTTGGAGGGTTTCTGTTCGAGGCCTTCTGTCCGGAGCACTTCTGGGAAAAATTAAACGTTCGGGAAGAAAACAAAAATTAACCGTGTCTCTTGAGAGATAGATTTTTGGACGGCATTCGTGTCCGCAGGTCGCCCGCGCACACGAGTCGGGGTTTTTCTTCTCCGTTTCGGGATTTGATCGGCACTCCCCCCTGCGCGTAAGAGAGAGCCTTTCCCTTTAGGAATCTTAACTCCTTAAAAGAGGCTTCCCTTTATAAGGGGGTGAAAATCCCTTGAATTTTTCGGTGTGGGATAAAACACACTAGAAACTCATCATTTTCCCAGTTTTTCCATTTCAACGAGCGAACTTCGAGAATCAATTTCTCATTCACCCGTTATCCGTTTTGAGCGTACCATATATCGAATTGTAGCCCTTAACAAGGACAATCCGAAACCACTTTGACCCAACCCAAATCGGAAGTGGACCCCACTCAAATAATTGCCCCAAAATGACCATTTAATGCAATTTTTAACACATTTTTCCAACATTTATTTTAAAGAAATAGTTCAATTATTATTTAGCATTCTTTACGTCTCGTAAAAATTGACTAAGGCATGCACATAATACGGAGTAATAAAACTAAAACCGTGTGATTGAATCCAGAAAACACAGAAATATCTTTAATCACACTCGTATTAATAATTTTATATGGAACAATAAATATTTTGGAACTGCTAAATAAGAAAAGTTTGCCATGTTTTGTAGGTACACTATGAAAGAAATAGTTTTTGTTTATGTAGTAAGTAAATAAAGTTTTTCTATAAATCTATTAAAACAAAATCACTTCATAATAACGTGATGTGTAGGCCAGTAGGGTTAACGTACATTTATACACAGTAGTTCCTATAACAGCCAGGCAGGAGGAACCCCTGTCCAGCCACCTCAATTTGAGGTGGTTTCGTGGAGTATTTTTGGCTGAAATTTTTTGTGTATCTTCTTCATCAAGTCTAGTTCATTCATACCAAATTTGAGTAAAAAAATTCAATTGGGGAGGTCGTCAAATGACTTATATGTATATTCCAGACCAGTTCATCCATACTAGACTTGATGAAGAACATACACAAAAAATTTCAACCAAAAATACCCCAGAATCACCTCAAATTGAGGTGGCCAGACAGGAGCCTCCTCCGACCTGGCCGGACAGGAAGAGCTCTCTACGTGTGTGTGTAGAGAGAGAGAGAGCGGTTTCGGTAAGAACGAAATCCCAGGAGAGAAATAAGAACGAATCTGGACTGTTGGATTGTATTATGTGGAATGGAAATGTGCATTTTTTGAAACTGAAATGTGCATTACATTATATTGAAATGTGCATAATAAAAATTTAAACTCAAGTATGCATTAGGTGAAACTGAAATGTGTGAAATAAAATGTACAAAAATAACATCACATCTTACCTTTTATTCTGCACATTTCAGTTTCACCTAGTGCACATTTCAATGCCATCTAATGCACAATTCAGCTTCACATAATGTCATTGTATCGTACCCTTTGTGCTGCACATTTCAATTTCACCTCATGCACATTGAATTTCACTTAAACCAAATCTAACGGTCCAGATTCATTCTCATTTCTCTCCTAAGATCATGTTCTTATTTGAACCAAAACCATATATATATATATATATATATATATATATATATATATATGGTGAAATTGAAATGTGCAACACAAAGCGTATGATACAATGTCATTAAGTGAAGCTTAATTGTGCATTAGGTGAAATTGAAATGTGCACTAGGTGAAACTGAAATGTGCAGAATAAAAGGTACGATGTGATGTTATTTTTGTACATTTTATTCCGCACATTTCAGTTTCACCTAATGCATAATTGAGTTTAAATTTTTATTCTGCACATTTCAGTATCATGTAATACACATTTCAGTTTCATCAAATGCACATTTCCGTTCCACATAATACAATCCAACGGTCCAGATTCGTTCTTATTTCTCTCCTGGGAGTTCGTTCTTACCGGAACCGCTCCCTACATATATATATATATATATATATATATATATATATATATATATATATATATATGTATGTATGTATGTATGTATGTATGTATGTATGTATGTATGTATGTATGTATGTGGTTACCTAGAGTTAAAATATAAAGGAATAAAATGGACGTGGATGGTTCTTAAGCTTAAAAAAAGTAGTGGTATAGGCTTATAGCATGTGGTTTATTCAAAAAGTAATGTAATTTATTTAGGCTTTTTTTGTACTAAAATAACACGAAATCTGTCATGCAAGTGTGTAGTTCTCTAGTGTAAATTGATGCGCTATGTAGGGCCAAACTTGTTCGATATGATGCCAAGAGCCGATTGCCTCACGGCAGTCAGAGGCAACAAATTTTTAACTAATCACCACTAATAACACTATGTATTAGAAGTGTTTGGAATTGATTCTACTTCTACTTTTCTTAAAGCAGAAGTACAATCAGACTCGTTTTCAGAAACTGGTCTTCCCCAACTATTACAATCAGACTCGTTTGCAGAAACTGGTCTCCCCCAACTTTCTTTTAAAAGCCGATAAGTCGTGAAATCTGATCTCCAATAAATCATTACGGCCAACTCGACGGTACATCCTCTCACACATTTTCTTTCTTGTAATAATTTTTAACCGACTCACCTTGCTTTCCTTACGGCCATCACCTAACATGATGACTCCAAATATTTTTCCCTCAGTCGTGAAAAAGGAAATCTAAGCCTTGGAAGCAAATGGGACATGGACGTTAGTTTCACGGCCGTCGAGAAGAAACTCATTGAATCTAAATGGGTTTATAAAATCAAATACAAACCCAATGGTGATGTTGAACGATACTAAGCGCGACTAGTTGCAAAAGGATGTACACAAATTGAGGGCATTGATTTTCATGAGAACATTGCTCCAGTCGCAAAGCTTGTTACTGTTAGATGTCTTCTAGTCGTTGCTGCTAAACGTCAATGGGTGGTGCACCAACTTGATGTAAATAATGTTTTCTTGCATGGGGACTTACATGAAGATGTGTACATGCGCATTCCACAAGGCTTTGCTAAAAAGGTGACACTTGGGATGCAAGCTTCACAAATCCTTGTACGGTCTTCAACAAGCATCACACAATTGGTATGAAAAATTCACTCGTGCCCTCACCCCAATTGGTTTTCGACACTCTCATGTCGATTACTCACTATTCCTCTACCGCCGAGGGAGTACCTATATTGTTGCATTAATATACGTGGATGATGTCTTACTAGCTGGCAATGACCTCACCCACATATCTCAAGTCAAACAATGTCTACATGAACAATTCACCATCAAGGACCTCGGCAAGCTGAAAGATTTTCTCAGAATTGAAGTTACATGTTCTCCAACCAGAATCATTCTTAGCCAATGGAAATACACTTTAGATATATTACGTGAAAGTGGCTTGCTCGGTAGTCGCCCGACTCCAACTCCCATAGAGCAAAATCTCAAATTATGACCTGATGATGACAGTGATCTTATTGATGTTGCGATGTAGATGCATCTAGTAGGCTGATTATTATATGTCACCGTCACACAGCCTGATATTGTCTTTCATGTGAATCAACTTAGTCACTTCCTTTCACAACCACGACAATCACACCTTGATGCAGCTCATTGAGTACTTAGATATCTCAAAGCCACTCCAATAATGGGCATTTTCATCTCATCAAGCTCAGATCTTTTGTTAACTGGCTTCTGTGAAGTTGATCGGGCCAGTTGTTCCTTTACTCGGTGCTCCAGTTCTGGTTATTTCATCACTTTAGGCGTCTCACCCATTTCATGGCAAACAAAAACACAAACGGTGGTGTCTCGTTCATCCGCTAAGACAGAGCAAAATCTCAAATTATGACCTGATGATGACAGTGATCTTATTGATGTTGCGATGTATCGGCATCTAGTAGGCTGATTATTATATCTCACCGTCACACGACCTGATATTGTCTTTCATGTGAATCAACTTAGTCACTTCCTTCCACAACCACGACAATCACACCTTGATGCAGCTCATCGAGTACTTAGATATCTCAAAGCCACTCCAACAATGGGAATTTTCATCTCATCAAGCTCAGGTCTTTTGTTAACTGGCTTCTGTGATGTTG